TGGGCGGCACGGGGCCCCCGCCGCGGCGCATCCGCGTGGACGTGGACTGGGAGCGCGGCCGAGTGGCCTTCTACGACGGGCGCTCGCTCGACCTGCTCTTCGCCTTCCAGGCGCCCGGGCCGCTGGGGCAGCGCGTCTTCCCGCTGCTCTGCACGCGTGACGCCCGCGCCCCGCTGCGCATCGTGCCGGCAGAGGGCTGAGCCGCCTCCCCCCGCCTGTGCCGGGAGCCGCCTCGTCCACACACACCCCCACCCAGCCACACTCTTTTCTCCCAAGCAGGAAGATCTTGGCTGGCCTCCGGCTTCCTGCCCCTCCCTCTGGGACGCTTGCCACCTGCCTCTCCACGGCTGCCTGCTACCCTGGACCTGAGCTGGGGAACAGGCCCTGCCCCCCAATACTGGGCAACGGTGGTGTCCACTACGCAGAGGCCCCGCTAGCCAAGCGTTCCCCTCCCACCCCTGCCTCTGCTGGTCTCAGAGGGCCCAGTGCCTTCTCCTCGGGCCACGGTTCCGACTTCCCTGCCCAATCTGGGGTTTATTCACCAGACTCTGGCCTGGGTCTCAGAGCCCTCCATGGAGCTCAATGCTGTTCTGGGGAGGGGGCAGGCCAGCTCTACTCCATGGTGACTGCTTCCTTTGCTCACAGCCTTGTCCCGTTAGGAACCTTCCTGACTCCCCCCCCCCTGCACACACAGTAAGCCAAGGCTGCTACCTCCCTTTCCTCTCCTCAGCAGGGGGGGTTGGCCCAAACACCCCAAAACCATCCCTGTACACAGCATCTCATCTTTCCCCATATGTATAAATGGGCCCATATTTAACACTTTTTGAGATGTTGGGTTATTTATTTTGTGCATCTGTGGCAATAAATGAGATCTCAGTGGTGGTATGATTTGACTCATCTCTGCAACTGTGCATGGCAAGAGGCCTAGGAAATGATCTCAAGATCCCAGTAAGGAGTGGGGAGGGCTGGGAGCTGGGCATCTGGGCTGGCAGAAACATCAAAGCCTAGGAAGGAAGGGGTAAGAGTGTAGTGTAGGGGACGTATCCCCATCTCTTTGCTCCCTCCCTTTCGCTTCCTCTCCCAGGGACCCAGGTCCCTGGGACAAAGCTGGATCTGTCTCTGAAGCCACAAGATGCAGGAGAAGGCTGGCTCTAAGTGGCCAATCCCCAAGCCAGTTTTGTCAGATCCTGTATCACGTGAGAAGGGTGAGGAGAGGCCATCACTATGTCCTTTTCCATTAAAGGTGATAAAGCAAAGACCTCTCTCTCTCCCAGCCCCTCTGGAGGGCATGAGGGGGTAGGGTTGGGAGCCCACACATCCCACAGGCTTATATAAATACATTACTGGAAGAGCTCCAAGCCAGGATTAACAAGCATAGCTAGGGCAAGATTGCCCGGAATCTAACTGGGACCCTGGCAGTGAAAGCTGGGACTGCTGAAAACCCAATTTAAGTGTTTGGGACTCAAATAGAGAATGCAAGGGGCCAAGAGACCTGGATCCCAGGACAGGCAGTTTGGCAGTGAGAACAAAGGGAAGAGACTGGAATCAAGACGCCTGGATCCCAGGAGAACAGAGGATGAGGACCGGAAGGAGAAATGAGGGCTGGGAGAACCCAGAAGCCTGGGTTCTGGAATAGCAGCAAGTCAGAATTCCAGGATCTCTGTTCACCCTCCTCTCCTCCTCCCTCCGTCAGGCAGAGGAGAGGGCAGGAGGGGGCTGGAGAAGGGGTCAAACCATGGGTTTAGTCCCCAAATAGCCACATGAATACATTCAGGGCCAGACAGACACAGGAATGGTGGGGCAGAGAGGAATTTAGTGCTGCATTGGCCCTGGAGGAGGCTGGGAGGGGTCAGGAGGCTGGGGAGGGGTGCTGGGGCTCGGTCCTGGGGTTGCACGACGCCGTCCCTTGCGGTGGCCCCGTACACAGTGTGTATGACCACAGCCCTCTTCTTCTTCCTCATCGCTCTCAGTGGAGCTCTCGCCAAAGGCCCGAGGTTTCTCATAAATACAGCAGCCTGGATTTGGAGGGAGGAGCCCAGTAAAAAAGGGACAAAAGTTAAGATACAGTCAGTTCCTCACCCACCAGATCTCAGTAACAACTGCTTCCACCGTGCAAGACCCAGCTTCCCCAGGCCCACCCCCCGGGGACTCAGGCCCCCAAACCCTCCTCCTGTTGGCCAGGGTCTAAAGCCTCGCTTCTGCCCGCTGATGCCTCCTGATTTCAGGCCCTGGTCTGTCCCAGGACAAGCCCTCCCTCCTTTTTCCTCCAGTCTTAGCCTCATGTCCCCGATGCCTGGAATCACTGAGGCAGTGACAGGCCCCTGGGCAGGTGTGAACAGGTGTGAGAAGTAGACAGTGACAGGCTGTGGGCAGGTGTGAGAAGGTGGCAGATGGGCCTGTGGGTAGGTGTGAGCAGGTGGCAGACACGCCTGTGGGCATGTATGAGCAGGTGTGAGCAGGTGGCAGACAGGCCTGGGGGCAGGTGTGAGCAGGTGTAAGCAGGTGGCAGACAGGTCTGTGGGCAGATGTGAGCCGGTATGAGAAGGTGGCAGCAACAGGCCTGGGGGCAGGTGTGAGCAGGTGGCAGAGGGGCCTGTGGGTAGGTGTGAGCAGGTGGCAGTGACAGGCCCCTGGGCAGGTGTGAGCAGATGGAAGAGGGAAACACTCACACTTTGATGAGCGGCGTCCCATGTGCTCGTTGTCCACAGTGTCACTCGTCCATTCTACCTTCTTCTCTGGCTTTCGTTTCCGTAATTTGATGGTCAGGCTCCGGTTCTCCTGGAAGGTTAAGAAGGACGGACAGACACAGCTAGCCCCCTCCTCCTGACCTGCCCAGCTCCCTCCCGGGGGCCCGGTTCAGTCAGTGCCCCAGACAGACCAACAGAGGAGCCGAGTGCAGGGAAAGGGCAACTGGAGCAGGTCTCTGACCTCAAGGAGACCCTTGGGCGGTTGCGACAACTGCTAGGACATGGGGAAGACACAGTTCCTGACCTAGGGAAGGTCCCAGCAAGTCTTCAAAGGAAAACATAATCCTCGCTGTTTCTCCATCTTCCTCCCCAAATCCTCCTCGGTGGTATTAGTACCTGAGCACGATCTCCTCAGTCCCCAGTACCTAACCCTTGACTCCCATAGAGAAAGAACCACGTCCTGATCTCTCCCATCCTCAAGCCCGGCGCTCCCCTCTTCTTACCTACCTACCTACCCCCTCGCACCCACGCGTCCCCCCATAACCCGGGGGTAACGACTACTACACCCTCTCTTTCTGAAAGCAACTCAACCCGTTCTCGCAG